GCATAGATTTCTGGAGATATAATATAAAGGGGAGGATAATAATAATCTTTTTCTTTCAATAAAGAATCTGCACAAAAATTCCATCAGCATTTTGCACAGTATGATAAAAAAAAATGCATTAAATCCTCAGCATCAACAGAGGTTCAAAGTGAGACAGAATCAAGCTAAATGAGGTACCCATAAAGAAAAGAAATAGCTAAATGGATATTGGTGAAGTCAAGATAACTACAAAATTAGCAACACAATAGCTTATAGAGTCTGCTTTTGCTAACAAAAGGCAATCATTACCACCTAGCATCCTGGTAAGAAAAGGTAGTTACATTCTGAAATGAACAAAATAGCATGGTTTCATGAAGATAACTTAAATTTTGAAGTTAAGGTACTTGAACTTGAACTTCTCAATAAAAGACTTTCTGATGACACCGTCATGCTGAAAGTGGTCTCAAGTAGAGAATAGGTGCTGACTGCATTACTCAATTTCTTATCTTCACATCAGTGACTCCAGTGGTATTCTTAAGGGAGACATTTTTGGGCTGCTTTGATGCCTTTTGATACCCTTTGGGGCACAACTGCCGGCAACACAGAACTGGCCATTGGGACACTGATCCTCTACGTCTTCTGAACATCACCGCCGGTCAGAGAAGACATGGAAAAATTTCTTGGAAAGTGGAATCTTTCCTGAAATGAGTATTCTATCCTTAGATGAAAATACCATCAAATTTTAAAATAAAAAGGGTGTCAGTTGATACCCTGCAATTTAAAGAGTTTTTGCAAATGTTTGGGTACGGAGGTGGCCTCTGAGCCCCAGAGGTCGTCAGAAAGCTTTCTGAAGCAAGATGATGCATTTACAGTTAATGCAAATTTCTTCCAGGGAGCAGAAGCAATTAGAGCTGGTCTTGGATTCAGTGTGAAATCTCAACCCAACCAAATCTGTTCAGGTTGTTCTGTCAGCTCTTAAGTCATGAAAAGAAGTCAGTCTCAGGGAGCAGACAGTGAAATGCAGAAAAGACAATTCTTTTTGACAGGGTGCTCCATTAGCTCGCACTGAGGTCCCTGACGGGGAGAAATAGGAACCCTCCAGCTGGCAGCTCTGGAATTAGGAAACATAAGAGGTGGCAGGGAAAAATCTGCATTATGATAGCCCCAGAAAGTCTTCCTGATGACCAAAACCTGATGTACCCAACTCATATCTGTTCTAAGCAAGTCTGTCCATTGAATAGAAGCCTGTGAATGCACTTCACAAGTAGCTAGCTCTGGCTTGGTTGTTTTCAATACTATCATCAGTAGGAGACAGAAATTGTAGAATCATAGAATGTCTTGGGTTGGAAGAGACCTTAAAGATCATCTAGTTCCTACCTCCTGCCATGGACAGCATTGCCAGCTGCTAGGTCAGGCTGCCAAGTGCCCTATCCAACCTGAACGCTTCTAGGGATGGGACATCCACAGCTTCTCTGGGAAGCCTATGTCAGTGCCTCTCAGTCCTCCGAGCAAAGAATTTCTTCGTAATGCAATGTAAATCTCTCTTTTACTTTAACACTTTAATTCTCCCTCTTGTTTCTAATCTTCTTTAAGTACTAGAGGGTCACAGCAAGGTTTCCCTAGGGCCTCTTCTCCAAGCTGAACAAGCCCAACTTCCTCAACCTTTCTTCACAGGAGAAGTGCTCCAGCCCTCTGATCATTCTCATGGCCCTTTTCTGGACCTGATTCAACATCACCTCATCCTTTTCATGCTGGGAGCTTCAAGCCTGGATGAAGTACGGCTTCACAACAGCAGGGTAAAAGGAGACAATTACCTCCCTCACCCTGCTGGCCAACCCCAGTTGCAAATTTATAGCACTCAAGAGCAATGTAGTACACAGACCAAAATGGAGTAGTGGCAGAAGGCTCCATTCAGCTTAAAATTTTCGTAAGTCACTAAAACCAAAGGCCTTCTGTTCACCTGGTGGGAAGTCTTTTTCTCACTGATGCCATCTAGTAGGTGACTACTAATGCTTCTGGTTGAAGTAAACAGAAAGACATCTACAAGGACAGCTCTGAAAGTAATGCCTTCTATTTCATGATGTTGGTCCCTGACATTGGAGGTGGATGTTGGTGGTATGACAGTATAGAGGCTGAACCTTCCTTACAGTAGTCTGTTACATTTTCTTGCTGTGTGATAGATGGCAGCAGAGAGACTGTCTGACAAAATGGTATCTGACATGGAAGTGTGTATGGAGCTTTGTGTCATTGAATTCCTTCATGTGAAAAAAATGATTCCCACTGACTCACACTGACACTTGCTGAATGGAGACCAACCAGTGGATGTGAACACGGTGAGGTGGTGGGTGATGTTGTTTTAGCAATGGTGACAGCAACTCTGGTCACCTCCGCTAAAGCAGACTTTTATGAACATGGCATGCACGCTCTTCTTCATTGTTCACAAAAATGCATAGCTAATGATGGTGAAGATGTTGAAAAAATAGTGTTTTGTATCTGAGAATCTGCTCTATCAGATGGTATTAACGAGATTTTTCTAGCTGTTGTAGTTTCCGTGGAAATAAATAGAATGCATTATTTTTGGAGCAATTTACATATTTTGAGGTTTGCTTTTTGTAGTTTTGCATTTAAAGTTCGTTATTGGTCTCCACAAATCAGAAGCTTCTATTCATTAGAAGTACTTAAAAATCATATTTCAGATCTGTTCAAAATGCAGAATATTAAAGAATAGGTAAAAAGCACTGCAAAAATGGGAGATTAAGGAAGATGTGAATCAGATGTGAATCAGGTCTATTTTATTTAGACCTGATTGCATTTTCTTAAACATAAAGAGAAGATTAAAATCAAGTAACTCAAACCTTTACGCAGTTTGTCTTTGGGCACAGGGTATAGGTAGAAGCGGTATCTGAGATCACTGTGTCTCTCAAGCAGCCTGGAGAGAGCCAGTGTCATTTTGTTTAAATTCAAAACATGTCCTGGCAGCACATGCCCATCTGCTAACCCTCTGGCTAAAAGTCAGGTCTGCAGAAGTAATAAAAAGATGCAACTCCTGTTTTCTAGTATGATTTTCGCCCCTTCAGACACCTCAAAGAGCTTTTTGGCTGCCTGAAGTATCTAACAACACAAGAAATAGCTAACAAAGGCAAAGGGAGAGAGAAAGAAAAACAGCAGTCAAAGGGAAAAGGAGGACAAGGACAAGAAAAGAAAAAGCCAGCATGTTCTTACAGGACTTTGGGTGGAAGTTGTTGCTGTTCATTTTGTTGTTGGAATTTTTATGGAGAGAGACTCTTGTGGAAAGATCTCAAGGGAAAATCAAAAAATTACTGAGGAGCTGAAAAACAGCAATACTGATTATTTTACCAGTGAGTAATTAGAAACATATTTTAAATATTCTGATATATGTTTAAATGTTTTTGTAGTTTAATGATTTTTTTAAATGTTTTATTTTTGTTGCCATGTGGAAGATGGCAGCAGGGGAGGCAGTCTGACAAAATGGTGTCTGACATGGAAATGCATATGAAGCAAAGATGTGTCACTGAATTCCTCCGTGTGGACAAAAATGTCACCTATTGACATTCATCAATACTTGCTGAACATTGATGAAAACCAGCCTGTGGATGTGGGTGGTGCATTTCAGCAGTGGTGACAACAGAGGGTCACCTCCTCTGGTGCAGATTTTTATGAGCATGGCATGCAGTCTCTTGTTCATCACTGGCAAAAATACACAGCACAAGGTGATGTCCTATGTTGTATGTGTATATGTGATCATAAGTAGAAAAACTTACATGCAAAGCAGAATAATCATTCTTATTGATAATGAGCAGAGTAAATGAAGGAAAAAAAAAATAAGATTAGTGTTAGAGAGTGTGGGAAGCTAAGTGGCAGAGATGAAATCATAAAGGCCTTGTGAATGTTAATGTATGGATGTTAAAATGTTGAAGCAAGTGTATCTCTCTGAGGAATGAAGGTAAGTGTAAATGTACCTTATGAGGGACCTGAGATGGAGTTAGTAAGACCTCCCCCCCCCCCATCATTTGCTCTGTAGGTGGAAACAAATCTGACTGACAATAGGATTCAAGTTCTTTGGACTATTGAAATTACAAGGATTTTGTCTTGAAACTCTGAAGATGTTTTTTGTCATCCCAGTAAGGGCCAATAAGAAACTCAGAGATAATTTTGAAGAAATAATAGAAGGAATGTATGGGAACATGGAGGATGGCATGATTTTAACTGTGAGCTTCATCATTTTAAAAATAAAATACAAAGTGTGAAATTGTAGAGATGATAGATGTTCTTTTTAATTTTTTTCAGTTTGTTTCTGAAATAATTTTTTCACCAGTTTGAACTACAGATGGGTCTCATGGGATTTGCTTTCAAACATAAGGGAGACATTCAGGCTTTCAGATTTCATTACCACTTTCCTCGTTATTGTGTGCCTTGAGGAGCTATAAATAACACATGGCTAATTTGTGAATATGACACGTTCCAGGGGATATGTGTATTTTAATCAGGGCACCTTCTGACATTTGGTAATTGGTTCACAGATTTGTTATATAATTTCATGATTATTAAGTTGCTAGGAGGAAAAAAAAATCTAAATTTGTTATCCAAAATCTGCCCTCATTGGACCCTTGTAGTATCTTTGTTTCTTGCAGGTCTAACTACAGATTTCAAGTCAGTGAAAATATAAACTATTGTTCCAGTTTGTTTTTTTTTTTTTCTATTTCTTATAGTTCTAGTCATATAATTAGTAGCTGTGTTCTTTATGACATACTGCTTCTAGTTAAAACTTCCTATTTGTGTGTCTATCACTAAAATGCTTGCTTTTCAGATATATTTATATTTGGTCTGGTGAAAAAAAAATCACTTTTTGTGTTGAAAGTATGTGTTTGATGTGGGGATTATTGTTTTTAAGAACAAGTTTTGCTGGTGTTCAAATTATGATCAGTTGCCTTATATTCTGTGAAACACCCTTTGAACATCTGTACAAAGTGACTGCCCCCTAAAACCATTCTATTTCACAGAATCACAGAATGGCCCGGGTTGGAAGGGACCTCAAGATCATGAATCTCCAACCCCCTTGCCACAAGCAGGGCCACCAACCTCCTGATTTAATACTACATCAGGTTCCCCAGGATCCCATCCACCCCGGCCTTGAACATCTCCAGGGATGGGGCATCCACACGGTTTCAAGCTAATGTAAGTTATTTAATCATTATGTTCCTACTGAATTTCTTTTTATGGTTTGATCTTTTGAACGGAGATGCTGTAGTGCTGAAAGGTGCATTTCTCAATGCCTGGTCATGAAGCATCAATACAACCAGGTTGTTTGTGTTATGGAAATCCATTGATTTTGGTAGAATTATTCAAACTCAGAGTCTGCAATTTGTTATTATTAATGCTGTTATCCATATTGAAAGTCTTGTCTCTGATTAGGCTGTTGTGACAGTTGCCTCCTCCAAAGGCTAAAGGGCAGATGGTGCATGAGGCTGTCTGCTCCCTGGCCTTGGCACACGTGATTCCTTGCTCCAGGGGGTGTGTTTCTCTTGTGCCAGACAGCACATTTATTTATGCAGGCTTCACAGAATATGGTTCTTGCCTTAAGAGTGAATTTACATCATTTGCAGCACAGATACACTTTCAGGTCCTTTTGCAACATAGATACTCGGTTTCTACCCACAAACAAGTCCGAAGAAATTTCATTAATGTATCAGTCTGACTTTAGTTAGATAAGAAGGCATCATTTACTTATTCAAGCAAATATTGATACAATTACTTTTTATTTATTTATGGTATCTTTGAGGCTATCCAGGTAATGACTAATGCAATGACATTGTGCTGACTTTAGCTATGCAATGCTATAACAAAGAGCATTTTTTCAGTGACGTGCAGTATTACAATTTCTCTATGTACTTAGTGTTGGCCATAAAATAGAGACTTTTCCTTGTGGTAGATTAAGGAACATCTTTGATGTTTCCATTCAAAGAATATTGCTTTCATAAGGTGAGCATTAACAAGACAGTAGTGACACATTTTCATGACAAGGTTGCTGACTGAACAGATCATTAGAAAGAAAAGGATCAAAGCTACTTCCACATGTTATGTTTCAGTGAGATGTAAGTACGTCACTGACAAAAAAGCGAAAGCAGCAAACATCACGTCAGGTAAAGCCCACTCTTCTTGTCTTCCTCTCCTCCTCATTTGCTTGTAGCAAATCACAATCTATTTGCATTTTGAAAGAGGCATGTTGGAATCTGCCTGCAAGGGTTAATATAACTCTGATAAGAGATTTATGAATACAGGTTGTCCTTTGTTACTAGTGGTCATGACAAATTACAGAATCACAAAATTAAGTATTTAGTTCTTAATGGCTCTCCGCTTCTGTCTGGAATTGCTTTTTATTTTTTTTCTTTCCTGTAAAGACAAGGCATGCATTTAAAACCAAATGTATTTACGAAGCACAGAAAAAATGTAGGTGGTTCAGCAAAACAGAAAGCTTCTACTGTTATTTTGCAAAATATTCCTAGTGACGCTGTAGTCCCAAGTACAAAATTCCCTTCAATTTAATTAGCATGTGAACCTATGGTTCTCCTTTTCTACCTGTATCAACTGATAGGAGATCCAATGATTTCTTCTAGGTATATGCAGTGTAAAACCTAGAGCCCAAGGGCAGGGAAGCTAATTTAGCTTGTAATAGCAAAGTATTCTGCAGGCAAGAGAGGTGCTTATGTTGCGATATGTCTTTTGAATATGTTGGATTGTCATTACTCACATTCATCTTTCAGTGCTGATCAGATTCTTGTATACCTGAAAGAAAGTGAGGAAGAGCTGCCCTAAGTTAAATGTTACGCAGTAGGGTTGTAAGACATGTAGCCAAAGTGTTTCTCAAACTTTCTAGAGATACTCCAACATATTTGAAAATTTTGACAGAAAAGAATAGGCAAGGGCAACGATGATTGATCCATGTTTTTAAGAAAAAAATTGAAGCCATATTTCCACCAGAGGCTTTAGACGGACATTGATATATTTATCAAGAAAAAAAAAACAAACACAAGCACAGCCTTTGCATCACTAACGTTGTAGCCTGGTGCCAGAATTTACAGCTGTAATGTAAGATTCATTGCCACTCTCTTTATTTATTGGAAAAATCTCTTGCAGCTGAGCAAAGGCATAAATATAAAATTAAATCACGAAAACTACTTCAAACTAGTGCTAAAGATACTCCTTAAACTCATGGGACCAGGACAACATCAAACTAATGCTGAAACACAATTGAGACAAACGGTTTTTATTTAGCCATTTATTATGCCAAACATCACTTTACAGTCAATATGTAAAACCACAGATTATTTGAGAGTATTTGTTATGTAAGCTCAACTAGGGTATTCGAAGACAGCATGTTCAATGAAGATACTTCCATGAATTTCTGTCCTTACGATGTCTCACTCATGTCTCTGTAAAATTACTTTTATAGTGTGTTTTACTAGTGTATAATGCAAGGAAACTTTATATGCTCATGAAAAATGGCTTTATAAACTACTCTAGTCTGCCAGATGATTCTTAGACTGCATAGATATGAGTATTAATGCCTGCAATATGTTGATAATATTTGTCCTTTTAGGTCAGTACAGACTTTTGAAGTATTTACAGTCTGCAAAAATAGTGTCACAAGTACAGAATAATAGTTATTGAATATTATGGGTTTATGATACATACATATTTAAATATTTCTCATAAAAAATCTTAAGAGTGCTAGTCTTAACTGCTGGACAACTTCAGAGATATGTTATTTCAATTTAGACTTAATCATAAAAATCAGTACAAATTTTAAGTGAAACATGCAAACATGTCTTCTTGCTCTAGTCCTGCTTGGTGCTATATGAATGTCCTGCACATGCTTGTGTGGTTGCACCTTTTGAACAGATACCACTTGGAATCACAGGACATGTCAAAGGCAACTCTCAGAGCTGAAATCAAACTGACTGTGAGACTGTGGGTAGGGCTTGTGTGGGCAAGAGGGTCTGATTCCAAACTCATTCCTGTGTGCAGCTCCCTTGGGAAAGCTACTAAAGATGTTGCTGCCCACCATGAGCAGAGTGAAAAGGCAAAAAAACAACTGTGTGTTCTTCAGTCAGCCAATGAGGGAACTAGGGCCAGCTAGATTTCAGGGATTTTAAAATGGAGCAAACAACTTCTTCTGTGTATGTAAATGATACCGACTTCAACTTTTTGATGCCAAGATGTAAAATGTTCTCTACCACTTTAATCATTATGTTTGAGTACTTAAATCTGCTCAGTCTTGAGACAACAGAAGAGATAGAGATCTGCCCTTTCCCAGTCATGCTTGATTTCTTAAAGCCTTATTCAAGTCCTGCTAGATGCAGGCCCCACTGAAATTGAAAGAAAATGTTTATGCTGACTTCAGTTCTTTGTCACTTCTGTAATTGCCACTTTACCAAAGACCTGACTATAATTGTCCTTACAATGTCTCTATTTTTGGGATATTCTCACATCCTTGTGTTACCTTACAAACCAATGGAGGACTTCTTGCTTTCTGTCTTAATACTTCTTGCGCTAAGACATCTTATGCTTATCTGAAGCATGAAACCATTCAGTGGAAATATCTTTCAGGCATATTCTGAGCTTTCCTGGAGCATGATGTACTGTGTGCTTTATAAAGAACTGAAAAGAATATGGTATAAAATAGATGAGAGTATATATGCTAGAAAGAAAAAGAGATGTGGAGAGATGAGAGTCGTGTAGATGAGAACCTGCATGATGGTTTTGCGATCAGTAGAGGTCTCGTACCTGGCTGAATAAGAGGAAAACAGGAGAGAGCAGAGGGTAGCACTGGCAGAAACCAGAGCTAGAGATATTGCCTTGATCACTCATGGCCATGGGAGGAGACACACGGAGGATCAGAGCTACTTTCTTGCTCTAAAAACCAGGCGAAAGAGGTCAAAAGACAAAACAGCCCCAAGACCAATTGGTGCTAATGTGCTATTTTAGATAATGATGATCCTCATTTCTTATGTAGTGACTTTTCATCTCTAGATCTCATAGCTCTTTATCTCAATTTTTCAGATTGCAAAACTGATTAATTACACTAGCAGCATTAGTATAATTAGTGCTGAGTATTCTCCAAGCTTCCTCTTCTTTAATCATCTGGGCTTTGAACCTGTAAATTGGAACTAAATCCCTATTTATCAAATAGCATAGATTTTAGCATCTGCAGAGGGTAGATTTTTGTTTATGTTGCTCTATCTTAAACTCTGATATTGTTGTAGAAGCTTTGGAAATGTGTCTGTGGGAGTGTACTGATAATAGATAGACCAAGATTTGTCTGTCTCTCTCCTTTTTTTTTCAGGTTTTTTTTTTTTTTTTTTTTTTTTTTTTTTCTTTTTTTTTTTGTCACATTTGATCTCTTGGACATTAAGCATTTTGGAAGGGAAAGGGAAAAAAAGAGCAGTACTATGTGTGCTTCTATGTGTAGGTGGATTGAAATGTCTGGTTTTATCTATCTGGGATGCATAACAGTTATCACACGAAGTGAAGACAAATTGTGCAACTTAAAAATGACAAGGACAAGGGAAAGGCCTTTGTTCTCATCTGCTAGGCTTCATGTCAAGACCTTGTGTCACCAATATTTACTTTCAGAGAAAATTGATGAGATTTACTTGGAGACACCACAGTTTATATGGCTCGGTCTCTGGTCTGCTTTCTGTGCCTCTTGGATTAGCATAGGAGGTTGCCTTAGTTTTCTTTTTCCTCTTCCTAGTAAACCGACCCAAGTATCTGTGAAACCTCAGGATTCCGTAGCTTGCACCACCCTCCTCTTACCTCTACCTTCAGCTCAGTACTGAGGAGCTTCTGTTGACTCCTAATAGCAGCAAGTTCTCTAGTTTGCTTTTACTAGATCTTGGTTATATTCTGGTAATTCTTTGATTTTTTAATTTTGTTGTTGATATAACAACTCATTCTTTATCTACAAATGTGGAAATAAAAGCATGGATGGCTTACTGAAGACTTTCAGAAATTGCCTACCATGCTTACAATGTTATTCAGAAACTGAATCTATATAAAAGAATTAGGGAGAGAATTTCAATGACCAGTCAGGACAAGTTGGAATTGTCTCTAATCAACAGCTGACAGAAGAAAAGAAAATATATGGAAGCAATATACGAATATTCTAAAAAAATCTAAAAGATACAAAATCTAATGTAGAATACTGTTCATTCTGTGCTCCTTGTATTACCGAAGTCTAGTTGTGATGACATATCACACCTTCATAGGAGAGGAAAGAAGTGAACCACAGCTGTGATTAAATGATGTAAGTAAGGGAAGCAAGCAACTTGCTTCATCTTAAATGGTTCAGCAGCTCTAGGAGCTGATAATTCTTACCCTTTCTTTTGGGGCTTTTTAAATTTTCCCTCCTTAAAATGCTGTGAAAGTATTTACTAATTATGATGAATAGTTTTTCTAGTTTCAGTTTCTCCTATATAAAAATCTTTTTTTGGCACACATATCATATAAATGTCTACTTAGTTCAATGATTTACTATTGATTGCTTTCATTAAGGCTATCCTATTACTCATTTGCTTCTAACTCTGGCATGTTTTTTCTGTGTTTAAATTTTTAATGTTCCGAGCTAATATAAAGATTTCAAGGTTTTAAGGATTCGTGCTCAGACTTATTATATTGCCCTAATAACTAGCACCAGAGCATGGACAGGTGCTGACAGCTCAGATGGAGACAGTCCCAGTGAGGAGAGGGCAGGGTTCCCCCACACCTCTTTAGGTCAGTGGAGAAAACATGGGATTTACATGTGCACATAAAGAGCCCAGAGGAGAAGACCAAATCAGGGGTCTGATTCCAGGGCATCGAAAGCTGGGAAACAGATACTCTTTTTTTTTTAAATTTATATATAAAAAGTTTTAAAATTGGAATTTAACAATGTTTTGCTGTAGTCTTTGCTACTTTGACAAGTTGATAGCAACAGGGAGCTTACTTTCAGCTTTTTCCTGCCCCAGTCTAATCATCATTCTCTGGGAAAGTCAGTGTAATTCCGTAATTCACCAGCTCCCAGCATGTTACCCATTACGTTATTTTTTTTCCATTTTTACTCAAAATGAAAAGAAACATAACAAGAGGAAACCCTGGTTCTGTCCTGAACCACTGCTTAGGTAAACAACTTGCCTGAGATCTTTAATTGTTGATCATACTGTATTGGAATACGAAACATTTCGACTGTGCCAAAACCATTTCTTTTAGTTTATTAGAGTTTGTAAGTAATTATCTGCTACACAGAAGTGGTTGAGGACCTAGAGTGTAAGGGGAAGAAATGCTGGGTTGAAACAGTGGACTGTAGAAGCTTTTCTTCTTCTTCCCACCCTTCCCCACGTGCGGACTGACTCTCTTTGATCTGGTTCCAGTGCCAAACAGGTTTCTGACAGGGTTTTGAGGGATACCTGTATCCCTTTTGAGGGATACCATTTCTGAGGGTTTCCACAGACACGGTACTGTGAATCAGCTGCTGGCCTTATCTTGTTCAGCTATGCATTTCAAATTTATTTAAACTTTATTTAAATTAGGTGATTAAGTTATTATTGTGTTTCTGTCATTTAAGTTATGCTTAGTCTTTTTCCTTTGTGTGTGAAATATGTATATATATATATGTCTATGTATATAAAGAAATATGTATCTTTAGACATTGATTCATCTTCTTTATTTAGCATTTCAATATTCTATACGTTGCGTATTTAAATTGCATTAATAAAATGTTGAAGTTTAGTTTCAGTGATATTACT